CAGCTCCCAGGCCGAGTGGCTGCTGCCTCGATGGGGGGGTGCGGGTGCAGATTAGAGCCTTGGAGCCTCAGGACCCGTCTGTCTGGGCCACCCCGATCCGCTGTCCCCAGCTGGCCAGGCTGGGCCCTCAGCCCCGTTTGAAGTTTAGGGTTTCTCTCCCAGGGGTTGGGGGGCTCTTTGTGTCTGCCCCTGCCCACCGTGGGAGGTGGGGGAGGCAGGGCCAAATCTATCATGGGAAGAGAGAAAGCTCTTTGTCCCTGAGGGAATGTGTCTCTGTTCCCCAACGCAGCCCCACACCCCGGGGCGGCTGGTTTGGGGGTGGGGTGCACTTGGCAGCTGGTTCTAGGATATCCACGAAGACCGGCTGGAGGAGAGGGTGCCCGGGGAGTTTGGGGGAGGTTGGAGGGATGCCAGAACCCCGCCCAGGGCCCCACGATGGTTCCCCCCAGGACCCAGGCAGCGTCCGACCCTAACACTTGGTCAGCATTGGCAGTAATAGAACACATGCCAGCCACCGTTTCTGGGGTCCAGGCGGGGGTAGTGTTTTCCTTGTTTAATTTCCCAGGGTGCTGGCTGTGAGCATCTTTGCTTTAGGGGTGGGGAAACAGAGGCCCAGAGCAGTGAGTAGCCCACCCCAGGGGGCCAGCTGCTCGGGGAGGGGACAGCACAGGCTGGTGCCTCCCCCGACCCCAGCATCTGTGGCTCCCTGGCCCACGGCCCCTCTCCCTGCCTGATCCAAACTTGTCACTCAGCAGAGGGGCACCCTTGTCCCCTGGGGGCTGATGGCCCCATGAGGCTGCCGCCTGCTGGCCACAGGTTTTTCCAGTTCATGCTCTGCTGACCTCATGACACTCAGGCCAGCCACCCCTAATTAGCCAGTCAGTCAGCACCAAGGGAGGTGGGAAGCTGGGCCTGCAGAGTGGCTTCCAGGCAGGGTGTCCTCCCAGGCATGCCGGGAAGCTACTCCCCGCACCCACCGCTCTCCAAGCAGCCTCCTTGTCAGAGAGGACAGGACACCTCAGGACTTGGGGGCATACTGAGGCCAGAGGGGAGATCGTCTGCCTGGCAGTGCTGGAGGGGCCTGGTCGAGGCCTGGTGCAGCTTACTGTGTCACCGTGGGCAGATTCTGTCCCTCTGTCCCCTCTCACACCTCCTGTCTGGCGAGGACATTGAATGTAGAAACCAGTGCTACAGAGCACCTTTTTTTTTCTTTTTCTTTTTTAATTCGGGGTCTCACTGTGTCACCCAGGCTGAAGTACAGTGGCATTATCACAGCTCACCACAGTCTCCACCTCCTGGGCTCAGGCGATCCTCCTGTCTTAGCCTCCTGAGTAGCTGGGACTGCAGGCGTGTACCACCACACCCGGCCAATTTTTACAATTTTTTTGTAGAGATGAGGTCTCCCTGTGTTGCCCAGACTGGTGACAAACTCCTGGGCTCAAGAGATCCTCCCACTTCGGCCTCCCAAAGTACTGAGATTACAGGCATGAGCCACCATGCCCGGCCTACGAAGTATCTCTATTAAGGATTCTGTCACCCGAGTCTAAATCTCACCTTTTCTTACTGCTGTGAAAACCCCAGGCAAGTCTCCCAACCCCTCTGAGCCTCCTGTGGGAAACCACAGCACCTCCCTCCTGGGGCGTCTACTGCTGGGGGTCCCGCCCCACGCCCTCCTCAGGCTGGCTAAGATCCTTTCGGGAGGAAGGGGCCAAGGCCCACTTGGGGGCTCCTGTCATCCAGCAGGGAAGGCTGGGCTGAGCTGGCCGTGGCTCCAGGGGAACCATCATTCCCGCTGAGAGGCCTGGGACCAGGCCATGCCACCCTGGGTCTGGCCACTCCGGGCGGGGCGTCTACCCCAGCCACGCGGGCCACTCCAGACTTCACTTTGTGCTGGGCTCCACCCTGGATCGCGGGGTCTCTTGAGCAGCCCCCGAGCCCCCTGAGAGGAGCTGGCAGGGCGGGGACGAAGCCTGGGGAACCCGTGCCCCTCCCCCTCTCCCCCCCCAAAACCCGAGACCTGCGGAAGGGAGGGCTTGAAGGCAGATGGCGGAACCATTTTCTGCCTCCGTGAGAGCTGATTGAAGGGCAATGATGCAGCTAATGCGAAGAAAGATAGAAATTTACTTGCTTTAACTTCATACGGCCCACAGTGAAAGAGTTCATTCAGCCGCCGGCCCGCCATACCTGATGGATGAATAAACCATTTGCAGCATCGATCATGCCCCTACATCATGGTTTCGTTCATGGGCCATTTGCTTCCAATTTCTCCTTCTCTGGGCCCTGTTTCATGCTTTCTTTCGCCCTCTCCGCCCGCCCCCACCCGACTCTCTCTCCCCCGCTCTTTTTCTTCCCTCTCTTCCCTCCCCGCCCCCCCAGATGACATTGGAAGTGAGCCCTCCCGCTGGGATGGATAAATAGATGGCATTGATACTCGCCAACAAACTATTTGTCATCTGAACTGGGCTTTTAGGAGGGAGAGTAAAAGAAGTGGCAGGCGCCCTAGCCACCTTGGGATGCAAAGCAAATGTCCTTTTCTTTCTATTTGGTTATTTTATTGAATCAGGGCTGACGGTTTGCCTCTGACTTCCGCCGCCGAGTGGAAGGTCTTCCCGTCTTCTCTTTCTCACCCGGTGCCCACGCTGTCCGTCTCCACTTGGGTTTGGGACTATGGTTTGGGACTCTGTTGGCAAGTGTGGTGGAGACAGAGTGACAAGCACACTGGAAAGGGTTGACAGTCTGGCAGATCCAGCGCAGGTGGAAGTGGGAAGCTGGGAAGATCAGGTCGTCACACCTGTACCCCCGAAGAAGTTAGGCCCGGGCTGGGGGGAGTCCTGGGAAGGTGCAGATGGGGTTGTGGAGTCAGGTGGTTGGCCCAAGGTCAGCGCCGGTTCATGGTACCTTTTAGCTGAGGATGGACCCTGGGCCCGTCTGTGCCTGGGGGACGCAGCGGTCTGCAGGACCCAGTGATGCCTGCTGGGCCCGTGGCTATGATGCCAGCTGGCTCCAGCTACTGGCCTCACCTGTTCCTCAGTCCAGGTTACTGTGGCAGCTGGGAGCCAGCATGGGGTGGGGGAGTAGTCCTCAGCCCAGGCCCCTGAAGCATGTCTTGGACAAGCTGCCTCTCAGCTTCGGTTTCCCTCTGGTCAATGGAAGTGTCAGGCTGGGGGCCTTAAGGACCCCTCCTACCTCCTGGGGTTTGCCTTTTTTTTTTTAAGCCACCGCGCCTGGCCAGACTCTGGCTTTTCTTAGAAAGCAGGATTTATTGAGAGGACAGAGAAGCTCCCACAGCAGGAGGGGACCCGAAGGGGTTGCCCTAGGACTCTGGCTTTAAGATCAGTTCTGGGATCTCGTTCCCACCCTACAAATGGAAACTGGTGAGGGGTGGCAGCTGGCCCCACATCACACAGCACTCTGGAGGCAGGGCGGGGGTCATGTGCCTCAGGATCCTGCATGAGCTCAGAGGTTGGCCTAGAAGGATCCACCATCCGGTTTGCCCAGAATTGAGAGGTTTTGGGGACAGGAGACTTTCAGTGCTAAACCCAGGGAAACCGGGGTGGCTGGTCACCCTAGTGAAGCGCCTGCGGGCAAAGTGACTGCAATTGAGCATCCCAGGCTCTCCTGCGGCCCTCCCCTCGCAGACAGCAGCAGAAGGAAGAGGAAAAGGCGGTACAGTTTGCACCAGGTCTTCCCCGGCATTTTCTTGTGTGGGTTTATGTCCTTTAAAAGAGAAAAAAGGTTGGCCGGGCTTGGTGGCTTAGCCTGTAATCCCAGCACTTTGGGTGGCCAAGGCGCGAGGATTGTCTGAGCCCACGGGTTTGAGACCATCCCAGGCAACTTGGCGAGACCTTGTCTCTACAATACATCAAAAATTAACCGGGTGTGGTAGCACGCGCCTGTAGTTCCAGCTACTTGGAAGCCTGAGGCAGAAGGCTCGCGGGAGCCCAGTAGGTCGATGTCAGGGTGGCCATGAGCGTGCCCCTGCACTCCAGCCTGGGCGACAGAGTGAGACTTGGACTCAAAAAAAATAAAATAAAAGTCGGACATGGTGGCTCACACCTGTAATCCCAGCACTTTGAGAGGCTGAGGAAGAAGGATTACTTGAACCCAGGAGTTCAAGACCAGTCTGGGCAGCATAGTGAGACCTCATCTTTACAAAAAAATTTTAAAAATCAGCCAGATGTGGTGGCCCATGCCTGTAGTCCCAGGTACTCTGGAGGCTGAGGCAGGAGGATCACCTGAGCCCAGGGCATCAGGGGTACAGTGGATTGTGAATGTGCTACTGCACTCCAGCCTAAGCAATAGAAGTGAGACTCTGACTCAGATAGATACATAAAAACTGTCTGTAAGCTTAAATGGCAAAATAGTCAAGGGCGGGTATCATCGCCCCCATGTTACAGATCAGGACCCTGAGGCTTAAGGGAATGAAGGCCCTGCAGCCTGAGGTGTTGATCCTGGCCTGGGGGGTATTTTCCACCACCTAGAGTCCAACACACATTTGATGAGGGCCTTGTGGGGGGTCACTGCCCTGTGCTGGGTGCTGGGAATAAGTCAGACATTGTCCACATCCACCCAGAACTCCCAGTGGCAGGAACAGTCTGTCCTGCTCAGCTGCCATGTCTCCATCCGTAGACGGGGGCACAGTGTGTGACCTTACCGAACAAAACTGCTGAGAATTCGAAAGATGCTGCAGATGGCCAATGACATGTGGCCAAGTGCAGCAGCTCACGCCTGTCATCCCAGCACTTTGGGAGCCCGAGGCAGGAGGATCGCTTGAGCCCGGGAGTTTGAGACCAGCCGGGAGTTTGAGACCAACATAGTGAGACCTCGTCTCTACACAAATTAGCTGGGCTTGGTGGTGTGTGCCTTTGGGAGGCCAAGATGGGAGGATTGTTTGAGCCCAGGAGTTGGAGACTGGCTTGGGCAACATGGCTCGACCTCATCTCTGTATTTAACAAAAGAAAAGGAGAGTGGCATGCGAATGTCGGCAGGGCTTTGAAAGCACAAACGTGAGGGGCCGTGAGGTGGTTCGCAGGACGTCCCCGGAAAGCTGGGGCTGCGGAGGAGGGAGGGCATCTCGAGGGTTCCCGGCAGCCGGCAGCGCCTCCACGATGGGCCGCATCCAGACGAGAGGCCCATTTTCCAACACGCCCAAGAGAAAATATACATAAAGGCTGATGTGTTTTCAGATGGGTTTTCGCTTTGCTCTTCTCTTTTCTCCCTGTGAGTATTAACCTCGGGGACCCCGGGGACGGCTCGGCTCGCCAGAGCACCTGCTGGGGTCACGCGCAGTCATTAGCTTTGCGGTCAGTGCAGAATAAACCCCAATTCCCGCTGCCGGGAGCGTGTGCGTGCCCACTCCCGGGAAGCCCTCGGAGCGCCGCCGCCCGCGCCGCCAAAGTCGCACTTTTTCCTGCCTGACTTGTTCCTCTCCCGCTATTCTACCTCCAGCTGTGGGGGCGTCGAAGGAAAAGATGAGATCAAGTTGAGGGGAAAAATTGTCTGATTTCTCGAGCCCTTTGTTTCTTGGGCCCCCGGCAAGCGGGGCTGGCTCTGGGCTGGGGTGGGGGGCCTTGCCAGACCCTGCCGGGTTCTGGAGAGAGAAGGGGGTTGCAGACCCCCCAGGAGGTGGGGTGCAGAGTATCTGGGGCCTGGCGTGTCATCCTCCCCCCTCTTGCTGTCCTTTGTCAGAACCAAGCACCCCCAGGTCTCTACACAAAGACCCAGGACCCGGCCAAAGCCCCAGACGCCCCTGACATCCTGGAGATCGAGTTCAAGAAAGGTATGTGCCCTCCTGTCGGGACTCTCCCCTGTCCCCACCTGCCCAGGAACCTAGGCCCTCTCAGGCAGGGGCTTCAAGGGTTCCGTGGCCCCTTCCCTGGACAAGGGGAGCCCGGAAGCCCCCAGGCTTGGAGGACAATGCCCTGGGTGCCCCCAAACACCGGTTCCTGGGCACCAGGTGTGGAGAGAGCGTTTTAGTCTCCAAGCAGCCACTCAGCTTTCCTGGGCCTCAGCGTCCTCATCTGTAAACTGGGGATAAAAGTGTAGAATGAGGTCTGTTGGGGAGCGGCCAGCCCCCGGCCCTGGCACCAGAAGGCGCTCTTGGCAGCTGGCTTGAGGGGCCCTCTGGCCCCCACGTGGAAAGCCTGAGGTCGTTCTGAGTGCTGCACTCGACGCCTCAGTTCCCCAGACCTGAGTTCCAAGTCGCAGCCCCTCGCTCCCCGTGGTGGCGGGGGCAGGTCCTGATCGCCCCCTCCCCTCCCATCCTTGCTGCTGTCCACATTGGATGTTTGCAGGCCAGGCACCCGAGCTTGGCAGATGGGCAGTTCTTGCCCTGGAAGGAGTAGGGGAAGGCAAGGCATGAGCTCGGGGGCCTGAGGAGAGCACCTTTCCAGGAGGCCACAGCGATCAGGGAGGCTTCCTGGAGGAGGCGGTGTTGGGTAAGAGCTGGAGGAGCTGAGGGGGCACGAGAACATCCCAGGCCCGGGCCCATCCACAAAGCAGTTGCCCACACTGGAGTGGAGGGGCCGTGGGAGAGGGACTCCAGGGAGAGGGCCCCCAGCTCTGAGGCCAGCAGGGGGAGCAGAGACTTGGACCTTCCCCACCCCCCGCTGGTGTGACCCTGGCAGCAGCTTCACCCCTTGGGGCCTTGGGCACTCTCGCCTATGAAACGGGCCACGGACGTGATCTTCTGGGCAGTGGGGAGTGCTTTAGTAACCCACCGAGAACCTGGCCGAGCCGGTGGGCGCCTTCCTCACTCCCCTCCGCCTGCCCCAAGCCCTGAGTGCCCAGTCACGCAGGGGCCCAAGAAGCCTTGGTCCCCAGGGTGAAGATGGTGGGACCAACCTAGGCAGCACCCCCTGGCTCCCTGCGTGGGGCCCCCAGGCGCGGGGAGAGCGGGGCGTGGGGGGGGTGGGAGGTGGCGGAGGGTCCCCAGCACAGGGCAGCCCTTCCTCGAGGAACAGGGCGGCCCGCGGGCTGAGCTGGAGGAGAAATGTGACCCATTGTCACGATGTGGGGACTGTCTGGAAGAAAGAAAAACAGAGGGGAGAACCCCTCCTCTGACTGGTGCCCATTCACTCTCTAGTTAATTTATTTGAAGTTTTAATCTAATTACTAACTATTTTAAAGGCTAAGAGGCTTTCTCCGGCAGCAGCACCAACAATGTCACCTCTTCTCCCGGGCAGGCCCCATCCGAGGCCCCGGCGGCAGCGAAGGCCCATAATAGGGCCGGGGAGGGAGGGAAGAGGGAGAGGCGGGGGTGGCGAGAGGGGCTTAAGGTTCATTATTGGGCAGACTTACATTTAATAGCAATTTACAACCAAGTTATAAAACCCCTGGAAATGGGGGTTAAGAATGGCCAGGCTGACAGCGCCTTGAGGGAAGCCCCTCCGAGCGGCGCCTGGCTTAATAAAGACTCGAAAGCCGCTATTGAGGCCTGATTGGCACCCGATGGCTCGCCCCATGGTAATGAGCTGGGCAGATGGGTGGGGATTAGTCGCCAACTTTGAACAGCTTTTCTTTGTCACTGTTTCATCTCTCTTGTTAGTCCCTAATACATTTATTGCTCATTTCACACCGCTAGAGAAAGTGCCCTTTGCTATTCAGAGTCAACCCCGAACCCACCCATTGCCCCCCCCACGCCTCTACACACACACACACACACACACACACACACACACACACACAGACAGAGACTTGGCCCTGCCCTCCCGCCACCCGGGACCCTACTCCTGGGGATTCAGGGCCGCCGCCGCCACCTTGCCTGCTGGAGCGGGCGCCGGGTCACCCCATCAATCAGATGGCTGCTTGCGGGTCTGGGGTGCAGGGTCGGGGCGCGGGATCCGCCTGGCAGACGCGGCAGGGGGCCGTGTGTGCGTGTGAGTGTGTGTGCGTGCACCTCGGCCTGGCGGCCCCCGGGTGGCTGGTGGGACAGAAGGTACTCCCTGCGTAAGACAATGGTGGAGCGTGAAATTCAATTAGTTCAGGGCCTGGTTCCAATTTCACAGGCCCTAAATGCAAAAGGGGCGCAGAGAATGGGAGGGTGGGGGAGAGAGTTTTTATTGCGTTTTCCCTTTCATTCTGGGGGGCTTTCTCGCCCCCTCTCTCCCCACAGCAGGCCTCAACCTGCACTGGGCTTTTGAAGGAGTCATTCGGAGTCCATATCTGTCACATTCATTTAAGGCGTTGCGGGCGGAGGGAGAGGGCGGGGGGGCGGGCGCAGACTCCTCCGTGGAGCCAGCCCGAGGCCCACTGCCCTCGCCTCCCGCCCTAGGGGTTCCTGTGAAGGTGACCAACGTCAAGGACGGCACCACCCACCGCACCTCCTTGGAGCTGTTCATGTACCTGAATGACATTGCGTGAGTGCCCGTGGCCCCCCGGGAGCCGCCGCCTGGGGCAAGCCCTGGCCTGGACCGCGTGGCTGATGGTCACAGCTGAGGGTTAGGGGTGAGGGGACAGGCTGTGTCCTAGCCCCGCAGGCACCGTCTTCTGGACCAAGGGGACTGGCTTGGCAGGAGAGTCCCCGTGGTCCTCATTGAAGCCCCTCAGCCTCAGAAGTTGACAGCCCCTGGTTGGCTACCATGCCCCCTCTGGATCAGAGGCCAGGGTGGAAGGAAAGAGGAACGGTGATGAGTGCTGGTGCCCCAGGACAGAGGTGACAGAAGGAGCAAGTGGTATGACCTGGGCAGTCCCTTCTCTGGTCCCGTTTCCCCGCCTATATGGTGGGCATTTGGACCGAGTGGCCTGACTCAGATGCCCCGTGAGTCTTGGCCCTGGAGATGGAGCCCAATGCATGGGTCAGATGGGCGCAGCCTTTTGCCTAGAGCCCTGCCGGGTGGGTGGCACCTGACCCCAAGTCTTGTGTGCTGGGACCCAGCAGACCCGCTCTTCCCACAGGGGCAAGCATGGCGTGGGCCGCATTGACATCGTGGAGAACCGCTTCATCGGAATGAAGTCCCGAGGTTAGTCCTCTCGGGCCCCGGGGCCTGCCTCAGCGCCTGGCAAACCCAGGGAGCCCCGAGACCTTTGTGGGTGACCTTGGGTGAGTCCTTTCACCCGCCAACCTGCAATTTCCCTCCTGTGACGTGAGGATGACGGTCTCTCTGCCCTTGACTTCCTAGAGTATTATGAGAAGAACCATGCCAAGGGCTGGGAGGGTCCAGGGAGGCTCGGAGGGGAGGGGAGGCCAGGGCCAGGCCTGGAGGTCAGGGTTTCTTGTGTCCCAGGCGGGTCGGCCGGTTCCGGAGGCAGACCATGCAGGGCCGATTTCGTGGTCATTAAGGCCACATTGAGGGTGCGGACCAGGCAGGGTGGGAATCTTGCCAGGGTGGGCGCTGTGGGCTGCAGCAGTGGTGTGAGCCAGCCACAGCCCTAAGGGCCTATCCCCTTTCTCCAGGGACGGGTTCTGCCTCAGGAAGTCGTGGCTGTTGCCTCGGCTTCCTCCGGGCTGGCCTCCAGGCTTCCCAGTCCACCTCTGGCCAGGCCCCAGGACAGGGCAGTTGGTCCCAAGCAAGTGTAACCAGAGCCAGCGATTCTCTTTGTCAGCCATCTGACGTCATCTCCACCACACCTGCTCTCCAGACTCGGTTTCCCCATTCATACAACAAAGGGTTCTTGTGTCCCTGAGGGTCTGCCAGCATGTGATAAAACAATGTTGTGTTTTTTTGGAGAGGCCTCTAGCTCTAAGAGGGAGAGGTTTCAGCAGGGTCCCTGAATCGGGCACCTGAATCTTCAATACCTGCCATGTGCTCAGGGTTCCCTGTCTTGGCAGGTGTTCAGCTCTCTTGCTTAGGACTGATTTGAAAAGACAAATAAAATCAAGCCAAGTTATAGCTGTAGGCCTTCAGCACATTTTTACTAAGATTTGAAAATCCAAAGAGATCTGGTCCCCAGATATCACTGTTAGAAAAGGATGGAGGTGGCCGGGTGCAGTGGCTCACGCCTGTAATCCCAACATTCTGGGAGGCCAAAGCGAGAGGATCGCCTGAGTCCAGGAGTTTGAGACCAACCTGGACAACACAGCAAGACCTCGTCTCTACAATCAATTAAAAAGAATTAGCTTGTGTAGTGGCATGAGCCTATAGTCCCAGCTACTTAGAAGGCTGAGGCTCATGGATTGCCTGAGAACCCAGGCGGTCGAGGCTGCAGTGAGCTGTGATCATGCCACTGAACTCCAGCCTGGGTGACAGAGAGAGATCCCAACTCAAAAAAAAAAAAAAAAGAGAGAAAGGTAAAGGTAGTGGCTTGGGGGTCCAAGTTTGTTGTCCCAAGTTTGCCCCCCCACCCAATGGCCTTGGACTTGTCATCTCTGGGCCTCAGGTTCCCCAGGTGCAATGTGGTGTGTGTGGGGATGGCTGGCACCTTGTGGCTCCAACCTGTTTGAATTGACCTCAAAAGGTCTGGGGAGGAGAGCAGGGCTGATGTGGCAGAGCTGCGCCTTTCTGGGACTTTTTCCTCCTTGCCACAGCCATTATCAGTGAGAAACAACCTAATTGAAACTCTCCTGCAAGACCTTGCGAGAACAATGTTACTAATTAGCTGTTCCTTTTATCCTGGGTGCCTTTGTCTCTTCCCTGTATTAACGGCTGATTAGATGTCCCTTTGTCTCCACCTGCCCTTGGGAACCAGCACAATGTAAGGCAGAGCTGGGAGGGACCTTGGGGAGCCAGGGACCAGCACCTCATTTTACAGATAGGGAAACCAAGGCTCCAGGTGGGAGAGGGCTTGTTCAAAGTCTCAGGCAGGCTGGTGGCAGGACCAGAACTGGCACTTGGGCCGAGAGAGGCACGGAGGCGGGGGGAGCGTGTGGTAGGTGCAGGGAAGAGGGGCCGAGAGTTGGAGCCTGGAGTAGGACAGATCTGGATTCAAACCTCCTTAGAATGGCAGGAACGGGTGTTATGAAAGTGCTCCATAAATGGCAGTCAGTTCCCAGGAGGTTCTAGGTGAGGACAAGGACAGCCTTCACCTTCTGGCAGCTGCCAGTTTGGCTCAGTGATGTCCAGGGTTGCACCTGTCATGCCCTTCCTGCATCCTTGGCAGGCATCACCAATCAGTGATGGCACTATCCTGTTGACTCCAGACGACAGCCTAGTGTGCAGTGCTGGCAGACACTACCAATCGATCAGGATTGGCATGAGTGCTGAAAATTAATTGCCATCCCTTGTTGGAAAGATAAGGTCTGGCCTGAGGCCTCTCTGAAATAGCATCCTGCTGGGTGGAGGAAGGAGTCAACTAAGAGTGACGGGAAGGAGGCAGTGATGAAGGCCTGGACTGTGCTATTCTGGGAAGACATCACAGAGGAGGTGGCAGCAGGGTGGCTTCAACTGGCAGGATGTGGAATGGAGAGGGTAGAGCAAGAGCATTCCAGGGACGGTGGTGAAGAGTAGGAGGGCCCCGGCGGCCTGTCAGCTGGTGGGTTGGGTCGCATGGGGGCTGAGCCCCCAGAGACCCGAAGAGCTGAGGCTCCAGTTGTCACCGGAGCAGCCAGACTAGGTTTTCGAGCCAGGCCTGGATCCCAGTCTTGGCTCCATCACCACTAGGAGAGCAACTCGGCCTCCCTGAGCCTCAACTCCTTGGTGTGTGAAAGGGGTTCTCGTGCAGATTGAAGGCAGAGAGCTCTCGACCCCAGTGTGTCTGGGTGGCAGGCTTGACACCGTGTTCTCAGCACTGGGCCTGGTCCCCATGGAGGTCAGAGCCATGAGATCGACAGTCTGTGGCCACCCCCGTGGCTCCTTAGCACCAAGGGAGAGGCTCCCGGAGCCATCTTCACCCTGCCCAGGTATTGTGTGTGTACCTGGGGGCGGTGGGACGGGCTGTCCCTAAAGGCTGAGAATTTAGCATTGTATAGTGTTTGGGGAAGAAAATCAAGATTCTTACTCCAAGAACTGACTATGTGACCTTAGAAAAGTTGCTTTCCCTCTCTGGAACTCCAGTTGTCAAAGGAGAGGCCAGATTAGGAGACCGCTTCATCTGTCTCCAGAAGTTCTAACTCGCCTGTTTTCTTGCTTGGGTTGGGGGCGAGGGAAGATGGTTGCTTGGTAATTCTAGGGTGGTGTCTTGTTTTCATTTCTCCACTCCAAATATTTCTCTGTGAGAGGGAAACAGCGGAGACAATAAATGAGCGTGTTGTGGATTCCCCTGGGATGCGATTTTTATTAAGTGTATAGTCACGGGAGAAGCTGTTAATCGTCCATTGTACTGAGGGCAGAGCCGGAAGATGCTGTTGTCCGTATCTTGGTACAAGGGGGAAATGTCATTTGTATTGATTTTACCAAGCTCGTAATTGAAATTCGTTAAAAGGGCTGATTTTTCTCCCTCGGGGGGTGGAGCGCTCGGGGACTGGGCAGTACCCGTGCCCCGGGTCTGGGGTGGCCTGGTCAGTGGCGGTGCCAAGGGCCGTGGGGTCAGGGACCGGGGCCAAGGGTGCTGCAGATGGAGGTGCTTTCTCTGTGTGATGGCTGTTCACATGTCATTATCACATTATCTTTTTAACTCCGGAGGGGGGCTAATTAAGTGAGTAAATGAAATCAGTGGGGAGGGAAGGGGGCCAGGCCGGCAGGAGGGATGGGAAGGAGCAGGCATGTCCTTGTGCTCACCTTTCCTCTCCTCCCAGCCCTGCCTGCTGCTGCCTGACCTGTCTCCTCCTCTCGCCTCCCTTCCTGTCCTCCGCCCTCTGCGGACTCCCTGCGTCCGTCTCTCCCCTTCTTCCTTCTCTCCTTCACCCTCCTTGTCTCTCACCCACACTCCCTCCTGTCTCTCCTCCTCTTTGCTTTCCAGCCAAGAAGGGACAAGGGCTGCCGCCCGCCCACCTGTCCAGCCCTCCCAGAGGCTGTCCTCACATAGAATGTTCCAGATGGAGAGGAAAGGGAGACCTGCAAAGTAAAGGGGTTTTCAATCCCAGAGGCCTGGATGGCCAGCCTCAGAGGCCCACCCTGACAGGCCAACATAGTGGCTCACACCTTAACCCTAGAACTCTAGGAGGTCAAAGCGGGAGGATTGCTTGGGCCCAGGATTTCAAGACCAGTCTGGGCAACATAGCGAGACCATGTCTCTACAAAAAAAAAAAAAAGTTAGCCAGGCGTGGTGGCACACACCTATAATCCCAGCTATTCAGGAGGCTGAGATGGGAGGATCCCCTGAGCCCAGCAAGTCAAGGCTGTGGTGAGCTGCAATTATGCCACTGCACTCCAGCCTGGGTGACAGAGTGACACCTTGACTCAAAGAAAAAAGAGAGACCCATCCTGATGCCCGGGATGGGCCTACCAGGCACCAGCAGCATAGAGGGTGACTGGAGTTCCACCCTGCCAGGCCTCCCATCACCATGGCAACTGCCTCTTGCCTTGGCCCTGGTACCTAAGAGGGGAGCCCCTAGGCTCCAGCCAGCCTCCCTTCCCCTGGTCTTTCAAAGTCCCTCTGGATGCTGCTTTCCCAAAGGACAGCGTCCAGGTGCCCTACCCTTGTCCCCCAGCTGGGGTGAGAGATCCCATTGCCTTGGGGACAGAAGAATTCACGCCACAGCGGCTGCCTGGTCCCCACCTCTTCTGGCGTGGTCCACTCTCCTCCCACCCTGGCCACCCCCGACTCCTCGCCCTGCTACCCCCCCTTCTTGGCAGTAATTATGGTGTGATTGAAGTTGCTCCGCAGAGAACTGCTGACACCTCTGTCTTTTTCCTGTAAACACGGGGAGATGAAAATAGACACTGGAGCGGCTTGCGTGTCACTCCAGAGAAGTCTGTTGTCTCTTCCGCGGCGACACAGAGGCTCAGCTGTCATTTCTTCCTTCTCTTTGCGCAGTGGTTTATATGCCGACTGTCAAAAGCCCCAAATCCACAGTCTTTTAGCATCAGGTTTCTGTCACTGATTTTTTTAAAGTCATTTTTTTCCAGAAGAAATACACAGAAATCATCTGTACTCCCTGCCCCCATGGAGAGAAGAGAGGGAAGATGCACGTACACACTCACACGCCAGCGGCAACCTAAAAACAAGCCTTTTGATCAACCACAATTAACTTTAACACCTTCCAAGGAAAGGGGCAGGAATATTAATTGTGCGGTGTGTTCTGTGGTTGCAGGGTTCTCTGTTGCCCTGAGCTGCCTTGGAGGGTTGCAGCCATGAGGCTGGGGGTGAGGCCTTAGGGGGAGGCGGGCTCAGCCGCCCTCTGCTTCCCACACCACAGGTGTCTCATGGTCCCGGGGGACACCTGTGGTAGGCCAGTAGCCGGGGACCTTGGACAAGTCCTAGCTCTTCCTGAGCCCTGAACAACCCCCCCCCCACTGTGTTCACCCCATTCCACACTGATGGGAGGTAACACTGTAGCCTAGAATGTTCTAGAGACTAAACCATCATCAGTGTGCATGGCACACCGAAACGATCTTTGAGGTAGATCTCAGAGGACATTAGAACAGAAGAGCAGCAGCTGGGCGTGGTGGCTTGCACCTGTCATCCCAAGTACTTTGGAAGGCCAAGGCAGGAGGATTGCTTGAGGCCGAGAATTCGAGACCAACCTAGGCAACATAGCAAGACCTGGTCTCTACAAAAAATTTGTAAAAATTAGCCAGGTGTGGTTGTGTGCACTTATGTAGTCCCAGCTACTTGAGAGGCTGAGATGAGAGGATCATTGAGCCCTGGAGTTAAAAGACTGCAGGCTGGGCTCAGTGGCTCAGCCTGTAACCCTAGCACTTTGGGAGGCCAAGGCGAGCGGATGGCCTGAGCCCATGGGTTCGAGACAGGCCCGGGCAACTTGGCGAGACCTCATCTCTACAATAAATCAAAACTTAGGTGGGCATGGTAGTGTGCGCCTATAGTTCCGACTACTTGGAAAGCTGAGGCAGAAGGATCGCCAGAGCCCAGCAGGTTGACACTGGGGTGGCTGTGAGCGTGCGTGCCACTGCACTCCAGCCTGGGCCACGGAGTAAGGCTCCAACTCAAAAAAAAAAAAGAGAGAGACTGCAGTGAGCAATGATCATACCACCGCATGCCAGCCTGGACAGCAGAGTGAGGCCTTGTCTCAAAAAATATAAATAAAAAGAATATACGAGCAGCAGAAACATGCAGCCTTCTTGTTTTCCAAACAGGTTGTCTGGGGCTCAGAGACAAACTGAGATAGGTCGAGATCCCACAGCAAAGCCAAGCTAGGCATTTTCCATAAAGGCACTGGTGGCAGGATTTCAGGTTTTCAGCCCCAGCTCTGCAAATACAGGTTAGACTGCGTGCCCTGCAGTTGGCCCAATAGGACAGGGAAGCAGGAGTCTCTAGGAGTTGGGAATGAGGAGGGCACCCTGCTGCTGGTCTGCCCAGATGGCGCTGTTGTGACCCTCTGTGGCTAGTATAAGGACTTGGCACGTTTCTGGGTTTTTCCAAAATGTAGCAAGACGAGCCATTTGAAGGCCTGTTTCTGTCAAGCATGGTGGCTCATGTCTGTAATCCCAGCGCCTTGGGAGACCAAAGCTAGAGAATTGCCTGAGCCCAGGAGTTCAGGACCAGTTAGACAACATGGCAAGACCTCATCTCTACAATAAAATCGCCCAGGCGTGGTGGCATGCACTGTGGTCCCAGCTACTTAGGAGGCTGAGGCAGAAGGATTGCCTTATCCCAGCAAGTCGAGGCTACGGTAGCCACAAGTGTGCCATTGCACTCCAGCCTGGGTGACAGAGTAAGACTCCAACTCAAGGGGGAAAAAGAAAGAACCCAAGCTTTTCCTCTGCAACAATAGCCAGTGCCTTGACCTTGGGTGTTTCTCTCATGCTCTGATGAGCACTTTACCAAAGGCCCTGAAAGGCGACCTGGAGCTGATGCTGGCCTCCGTTCCCCTCTCGTTGGCTGGGCAACATTGGACAAGTCACTGCTCTCTCCAGGCCCTCAGTCTTCTCGTCTGTAAAACTGGCATATTGTAATCGATTTACGATGAGTCCAGGGTTTGCAGAGAGGCCTTCGCGGTCATCTCCTCTATATGCTGGCCTTCTGCCCAAGACCATCTGAATATTAAGTTTGCAGCGAAAAGTTAGGAGACGGATTGATCCTGAAGAGACTTTCCTGCAAGCTCTGACATTTCTGATTCCAAGACTAAAAGATCAAAGATGAGAGGAGTGCTCAGAGGAGGAAACTTCTGGTTATTGCCATGAAGGGCTCATCAGACTCAGCCTCCTCCCCCATCCCCTCTGGGCTTCAGAGTTGAAAACAATCTCCTTTCAGGTTTGGTTTGGTTTTTTAAAGCATTTCAAAAATTGCGTATGTTGGGTACAGTGGCATCATGCCTGGCTAATTTGTTGTAAAGACGAGGTGTCGCCAAGTTGTCCAGGCTTGTCTCAGACCCCTGGGCAGCTGAGACAATCCTCTTGCCTCAGCCTCCCAAAGTGCTGGAATTATAGACATGAGCCACCACGCCCGGTCCCTTGTGTTTCATCCATGTTGTAACACATGTCAGAATCTCCTTTCTTTTTCAGGATGAATAATATTTAACTGTATGCGTTTTGCTTTTTTATTCATCCACTGATGGACACTTGGTTACTTCCACTCATTGGCAATTGTGATTAATGTTGTTATGAACATGAATGTACAAATTTCTCCCTTTTTTTTTAAGCGGTCAGAAAGACAATGTTGGTAAATTTCAGAATGATTGCAGACTTGGCACTTTCGTGCTGTAACATCATGTGGGGGGAAGAAAGGACCTCTCAGGCCGGGCGTGTTGGCTCATGCCTGTCATCCCAGCACTTTGGGAGGCAGAGGCGAGAGGATTGTCTGAGCCCAGGGGTTTGAGACCAGGCTGCACAACTTGGTGAGACCTCGTCTCTACAATAAAGCAAAAAAGTTTCCAGGCATGGTGGTGTGTGCCCATAGTCCTAGCTACTTGGAAGGCTGAGGCAGAAGGATCGCCTGAGCCCAGTAGGTTGAGGCTGTGGTAGCTGTGATCGTGCCACTGCACTCCAGCCTGGGCAACAGAGCGAAACTCCGACTCAAAAAAAAAACAAACCACTAGTTCTTGGAGAAGAATCCATGGAGATGGGGTAGTTGCAGGGGTGGGTTTGCCCAAGCCCTGCTCTTCTGAGTCCATGTTGCTGTAGCAAGCGGGGGTCTGGGCTGTGTGGCATGGTTGATTCTGCCTCTTGGTGGTCCCAGTGTCTTCCAGTGTCCTATGGCACTCCTGAGCGAACCAGGGCCAGAAACCTCCGTGTCTCTTCGCGGCCAACTGGTCTAAGCAGGTTTTGCAGACGAGAGACCAGGCCTGGCTTGACAGGAGGGGCCTTGCGTAAGACCCTCTCCCCTTGATCGTCCAGGATTGGGCCTTCATGGCCAGTTGAGCCCCAGGGCAGCAGATAGCATGGCTCAGGGGCTGTCTAACTCAGGCAAGTCCCTTCTCCTCGCGGGCTCAGTTTCCTCATCTCTTCAGTGGAGTCAGCCTAGGGGATTGCTCAAGCCCTCTGCTGCCCCGGCAGTCTCTGGAGAGACCTGGCTGTAGAGACCTGCTACCTGAAGGTGGCATGTGTGAACACGTGTGCAAGGATATGCATGGCCGTCCCCTCTTCTCCCGGGTGGAAGGGAGGAAGGGATATTTGGGTCCCCGGGCGCCACCGTAGTCACTTTAATTACAGGGTTTCAGCTGCGGGCCGGTGGGCATGCGTGGGGGGGGGAGGCTGTGCTGAAACCCTGTCATTTTCCAACATCTGAGGGCCTCTTCAAAGGGGGGCATCTAGACATTTTCTCCACAAGCCGCAGAGTGGACTGTCGTGGCCCCAGCATGAACATAATGACAGATGCATTTTGCAGCAAGCTGGGAGTGAATGGGTCCGACCGGCTTGTCTCCTGTCAGACGAGTCATTATTTTTTTTTTTTTTTGTCATTTGCTGACAGTTTGGGTTTCATGCGTTTCTCTCTTTTTTCTCCTTTTCCCCCTGCCTGGAAAAATGGCTAGGTATCTACGAGACCCCAGCAGGGACCATCCTTTACCACGCTCATTTAGACATCGAGGCCTTCACCATGGATCGTGAAGTGCGCAAAATCAAACAAGGCCTGGGCTTGAAATTCGCTGAGCTGGTCTACACCGGTATGTAAGACCCTACAGCATCCGCTTCCCAGCCCTGGGCTCCCAGGTCCTCCTCAGACTCTCAGCCTTGCCCGCCCCTCCCTATCAATACCCTCCTCCCATGCCACCCACTTCCATCCTAGTGTGAGACCCCAAAAGAGGCAGGTCGAGGCTGGGCCTGGTGGCTCACGCCTGTCAGCCCAACACTTTGGGAGGCCGAGATGGGAGGATCGCTTGAGACCAAGAGTTTAAGACCAGCCTGGGCAACATAGCAAGACCTCGTCTCTACAAAAAAAATCAAAAAATTAGCCAGGGGTGGTGGCGTGAGCCTGTAGCCCCAGCTACTCAGGAGGCTGAGGCGGGACGATCGCTTGAGGTCGAGGCTGCAACGAGTTGTGATTGTACTACACTTAGCCTGGGTGACAGAGTGAGACGCTGACTCAAAAAAAAAAAGAAGGTCAAAGGGGGCTGAGGGAGAGGGCAGGGGACTGGGAGTGAGGCAGGGATGCCAGAATCCCTGTTGCTTATGGGTGTCACAGGAGATGTTCCAGCCTATAGTCTGTGTGACTCAAGCAAGGCCAGGGAAGCATCACGTGTCATCACTGTGACAGCTGTGTTGTGTAGGAACGTACACAATCCATGGGGTCTTCACGATTTTCCTAGGCGGCTGTAGCTCCTTGTACAGATGAGGAAACTGAAGCTCAGAGGAGAAGAGGCTTGTACAGACAGATTCAGTTGGAAGTGGCCCAAGTCGGGCTGTCTCAAGGCAGAACCTGGAGCCACACTGTGAACTGCTGCGAGGAGGTGGATCCTGGGACCCTGAACCCAGCCCCAGGCCTGAGTTCTGGCCTCTGGGTGGGGGGATGAGACAGGGGAAGGAAAGGTTTAGCCCAGGTAGCTGTCACTAATATTAACTCTCCCAGTGCTCCTGACACCCAGGTCCCCATGGCCGTTAAGGTCAGCCTCGGGTAGCAGACTGACCCCAGAAGCTCAGAGGGGCTGGCTGATGTGATTTCTCACTTGAGCGATACATACACGATCTAGACAGGGCCTAGCTTGAGCATGTTACGTAACCTCCCGACGCCCTAGTTTTCTCATCAGAACGGTGGGAAATCATTGAGACAGGATGGATGATTATCATCGTGATTATCCTCATCGTGAGGACTAAATGCAGGGATATTTGTGACGCAGCTGGAACAGTGTCTGGCCCGGAGGAGGACTGTCCCAGTGTGCTGAATAGCTACAGACCTGGCATAGTTTTCAAAGGTGAAGGCAGGAAGGGCGGGGGCCTTGCTCTGGCTGGGTTTATGGTCTCTGGCAGGTCTGTCTCCTCCCTGAGACTCAGTTCCCCCGCCTGTAAAATAAAGGGCACCAGGTTGAGGGCATACCGGGGTCCCTCCTCTACTCCATCTAGTTCCTGGGGTGTCAAGCCCGGCCCTCTGTGTAGTGCTTGGCTTCCTCAGAGCCCCTGTGGCCTTGGCACAAATGCCTTGGCACAAATACTGGCCTTGGCACAAATACTGGCGCACCGCATGAGTGAGATCTTGACCATGAACATGAAACCACTACAGGATGGCCAGGGGCCTGAGCCCCACCACATGCCCAGCCCATGTGTGAAATGATTTGGGGGTGATGTGAGCACCTTATGTGGTTGGGTCCCTGCTTTGCAGATGAGGAGACTGAGTTTCCCAGAGTTGGAATCCAGGCCCCCCAACTCCAAAGCCAACCCTCCTGTGGTATAACATGGATCCCCGAGCTGTAGTCCCTAGGTCACATCCAGGCTGTTCCCTGTGAGCTAAAAATTATTTTTACACTTGTTAAAAAATTAGAGACGCACTCTTGCTATGTTGCCCAGGCTGGTCTCGAACTCGGGCTCAGTTCTCTTACTTCGGCCTCCCAAAGTGCTAAAATTACAAGAGTGAGCCACCATGCCCAGCCTAATTTTTACACCTTTAAATGGTTGGGAGAGAAAAACATTCATGCTATTTCATGACATGGGGAAAATTATATAAAATTCAAATTTGTAGCCGGGCTCGGTGGCTCAGCCTGTAATCCCGCGCCTTTGGGAGGCTGAGGTGAGTGGATTGCCTGAGCCCATGGGTTCGAGACCCTCCTGGGCAGCGAGACCTCATCTCTACAATAAATCAAAAAATCAGCCGGACATGGTAGCGCTTGCCTGTAATTCCGGCTACTTGGAAGGCTGAGGCGGAAGGATTGCCGGAGCCCAGCAGGTCGAGGCTGCGGTGGCCGGGAGCGGCCACTGCACTCCAGTCTGGGTGACAGAGTGAGACTCCAACTCAAAAAAAAAAAAGAAATTCAAATTTGTGTCCATAAATTTGGAACACAGCCACACTTGCTCGATTTCATGTTGCCTATGGCTGTTTGGAGCCACGAGGACAGATCTGAGTCGTGTAGAGAGAAACCATGTGACCCCAAGGGCCTGAAATAGTGACTCTGGCCCTTTCCCGAAGACCTTTGCTGACCCCTGCTGAATAGCATACACATTCCCCTAATCTGGAGAATCATATCAAACAGCCCCTCTGAGCTGTGGGGACAAGCTGCTGCCTGAGGCTGGCCTTGACATTTTTGGGCACCTGGGTGAAGTTAATATTAGTGATGATTACCTGGGGTAAGCTCTCCCCTCTCCGCACTGCCCCTGCCTCCTCTCCCACCCTCACCACTCTGAGGTTTCGTTACCACTTAAACCTCCTAATCATGGCTGGGTGCAGTGGCTCACACCTGTCTTCCCAGCACTTTGGGAGGCTGAGGCTAGAGGATTGCTTGAGCCCAGGAGTTTGAGACCAGCCTGGGCAACATAGCGAGACCTTGCCCTTCAAAAAAATTTTTTTAATGAGCCAGGCGTGGTAGCATGCACCTATAGTCTCAGCTACTCAGGGCACTGAGGTGGAAGGATTGCCTGAGTCCAGCAGGCTGAGGCTGTGGTGAGCTGTGATTGTGCTACTGCGCTCCAGCCTGGGCAACAGAGTAAGACCCTGACTCAAAAAAAGAAACCAACCTCCTAATCACTGTGCCTCATCTAAGGATTTGCAGAGGACTCAGTAGCTAGCAATGGCTAGTGTCATTTTTCTGCCATTGTTCCTGGCAGCTTGGAAGCTGAGTACCCCTTCCTCCCCAGGTACAGACAGGTGTTGAAATACCATTGTCTCCTGCGGGCTCTCCAGCTCGGTGGGGATTTCAACGCTGAAAGGTGAATTTTGGTTACAAAGCGGGAGAGAGTGATTAGGACATGGCAGGCCATGGTGAAAGCGAGAGCACCTGGCCTGAAACCTCCGTGGAGGCTGATCCTGCAGTGACCGTGGCTGCCATGTACCCTGCTGTCCTGCTGCCAGGCTCTGAGCCGGGCACCTGGCAGGTATTATCCAAACTTAGCTACGCACAGAGCTGAGGAAACAGACTCTCCCAGGCTTTCAAGGCCAGTGATGGGGTGGCGTTGAACCCAGGGCAGACCGGCTTCAGAGGCCAAGTTCTCAGCTGTCCCAGCGGATCACAGGGTGATCGTGTCAAGGGGAGTCCTGGGCATCAGGGACACAGCTTGGCTTCTGGCTGCAGGAGGGTTCATTTACACCAGGCTGCCTTGTGGAGTCTTTGATCTAGGAGACTTACAGGGCTAAAACTGCCTGGGGCAGCAGCTCACGCCTGTAATCCCAGCACTTGGGGAGGCCCAGGTGAAAGGACTGCCTAAGCTGAGGAGTTCAAGACCAGCCTGGGCAACATGGCAAGACATACAATCAATAAACCTACAACAAATCAAAAAATTAGCTGGGTGTGGTGGTACACACCTGTGGTTCCAGCTACTTGGAAGGCTGAGGCGGAAGGATCGCCTGAGCCCAGCAGGCCGAGGCTGCGGTGGCCGTCAGCAATGCCACTGTACTCCAGCCTGGGCCACAGAGTAAGATCCTGACTCAAAAAAAAAAAGGTGGAGGAGAGTGGGATGAGGCAGAGTGAGAAGAAGCTTAGCATGGAGAGTTGTCACTAGTATTAACTCTGCCCAGTGCCCCTGACGTCCAGACCCCCATGGATATCAAGGTCAGCCTCAGGTAGCCCCCTGACCCCAGCAGCTCAGAGGGGCTGGCTGATGTGATTTCTCACTTGAGCGATACATACATGGTCTAGACAGGGCCTCGCTTGAGCATGTTATGTAACCTCCCTTCGCCTCAGTTTTCCCATCAGAACGGTGGGAAATCATCGAGACAGGATGGGATAATCATCCATCCTGTCTTGTAGTGAGGACTAAATGCATGGATGTTTGTGACGCAGCTGGAACAGTGTCTGGCCCGGAGGAGCACTGCCCAGTGTGTTGAATAACTACAGACCTGGCATAGTTTTCAAAGGTGAAGGCAGGAAGGGCGGGGGCCTTGCCTCTGGCTGGGTTTATGGTCTCTGGCAGGTCTGTCTCAGTTTCCCTGAGTTTCTGAGCCTCAGCTTCCCTTCCTGTAAAGTAAAGCGCCAGGCTGAGGGCACGTCAGGGTCTCTCCCCAGTCCCATCTAGCTCCTGGGGTGTTAAGCCCATTCCAAGAGCTATAATACTTGGCTTCCTCAGAGCCTCTGTGGCCACAGCTGGGGAAACTGAGGCACGGGGAAGCCCTCTTGCCCCAGCCCTGCTCCTAGATGCCCTGCCTTTTGTAGCCACTGTGTCCCAGCGTGTGTGTGTCTGTGTATGATTGTTTGTCTCCCCTGTCCCCCTATTCCCAAATGTCCTGGTCTGTGTAGGGTTCAGGCAGGCTCTCCTTCCAGAGTAGCTTCCAGGGTCAGCCTAGTCGGACTCCAGTTTTGGAGCCTGGAGGGGCCCAGTGGAGCATGTCGTTTACAGGGTATAGCTCACCTCCTATCAGTTGCTTCGGCAGTAAAATGGGCATAATGCACAACTTGCACAGAGAGTTGTCCCTATTAGGAAAGATCCCACGTGCAGAGTGTGTGGCCCAGCTGGCAGGATGGGGGAGGGCCTTCTCCAGCTCAGCCCCAGGCCCCACCCACAGCACCTGGGACACAACACCTGGGACGCCCTGCATGGCTCACTGTCCTCAATCCAAGCTGGCTCTGCTGGGAAAAGAAACAGCAGAAAGCCCCGTGGGGAAGAGTCAGGAAATGCCAAGATAAAGCCCAGCCCAGGTGCTCCCACAAAGATCTCTGTCCTAGCCGGGCTCAGTGGCTCAGCCTGTAATCCCACACCTTTGGGGGGCTGAGGTGAGTGGACTGCCTGAGCCCGTGGGTTTGAGACCCGCCTGGGCAGCGAGACCTCATCTCTACAATAAATCAAAAAATCAGCCGGGCGTGGTAGCGCATGCCTGTAATTCTGGCTACTTGGAAGGCTGAGGCGGAAGGATCACTGGAGCCCAGCGGGTCGAGACTGCGGTGGCTGACAGAGTGAGACTCCAACTCAAAAAAAAAAAAAAAAAAGATCTCTGTCCTGTCTCCGACTTCATCTCCCACCTACCTTCCAGCCCCGATGGCTTAATGGGTCAATTATCCCAAACCAGCCAGAAAGATGGCCAAGCTCAGGACACCCGAGCATGGTGGGGGTGAGGAGGACATCCCTGTCCCCTCCCGTGTTAGGAAAAGCCCTGAGCTGGAGTCTGGAGCGCCCCATCTAACCCGGGCCCTTCCACTATCTTGCTGTGTAGCTTTGAACAGGCTCTTTTCCTCTCTGGGCCCCTGTCCCCCTGGATACAAGGAGGGCTGGCAGAGGTCACGGTGTTCAGCTATAAGTATAAGATACTTCGTGCTCTGTGTATACGTCCTCTCACTGAATCCACACAACCCCTGTAGAGCAGATAGTCGTATTATCTCGTTGTGCAGCTGAAAGAAACTGAGGCAAGGGGAGGTTATGCTGCTTGCCAAGATGAGGCTGGGATGGGAGCATTAATGGTGGGACACGGCAGAGCGAGGACCCAGCCTCCCCTCCCCTACAGCCTCCAAAAGCCCCAAGACCCAGTCCCGGGGAAGGCCTGGCCGCTTTCCCATGGAGAACCTCAGCCGGTGCCCCGGGGGCCTCAGCCTCCAACAATAGCTGCAACCCCTGAGCTGACCCAGCCCTTTATCAGGACAGGAGATCTTGGGCCATCTGGCCCCACAGCTGCCCAGGTGGGCTCACCTTCCCAGCTCTGTTTCAGAGAAACCCTAGCCTGCCTTGTCCCTCCCCTGACTTGCAGGGGCCTGCTCTTCCTGTGGGGTGTGTGACATCCTCACTCACCCCCCCCCCCCACACACACACACACACACACACACACACACACACACACACACACGCAGCCCTGGCCCGCCTGCCCTCCCCAGTGTCCCAGCCTCAGCAGAGATGACAGAGGGGCCCAGGGCAGACTGGGGACCGAGCACTCCCCCTCCCTGGCCTCAGGGGAAGGGGTGAGGGGAACACATTTCTCCAGCATCTCCTGCCCCCACCTACACACACAGGGATGTTCCAGCCATGGGGCGGGGAGTAGAATTCCCATAGGAAGCAGAGCTGTCACAACTGGGGCCAACAGCGGCCATATCCAGGCTCTCCACTCCCAATCTGTGTGATCCTGGAGAAGTTTCTTTTTGTTTTGGGTCAGGGCCTCACTCTGTCACCCAGGCTGGGGTGCAGTGGCATGATCACGGCTCACTCAATCCTCCTCCTCCGGGGCTCAGATGATTCTCCCACCTCAGCCTCCCAAGTAGCTGAAACTATAGGTGCAGACCACTGCGCCTGGCTCGTTTTTTAATCTTTTTGTAGAAACGGGGGTCTTGCTATGTTGCCCAGGTTGGTCTTGGCCTCCCAAAGTGCTGGGATTACAGGCTAAGAGTGCTTTCTCCTAGGGCTATTTATAAGGCTTCAAAGAGCTAGTCTAGATTAAGACCATGGACAGTGCCTCTGCTTGCATATGTAGAAATATTCTACTTGCATATAGAAATGTCCGCACTATGTAGAAAACAGATCGCTGACTTCCAGGGGCCTGCCCTTCCTGTGAGGTGGGCTTTTCCCAGGACTCCAGTTCAAATAGTCCCCAGGTCCAGTGCTTACTCTGCAATACTACTGTGACATCCCTGCTCAGCAGACAGGGAAACAGGCACACAGATGTGAAGTCCACGCACATTTGTCTGTCTAACCCCAAGCCGCCACCCAGCAGCCTTCACTAGACACTCATATCGCCCAACCCTGGGCAGCACATGCCTCTAAGACCTGCCTGCAGTCTGTCTCCCCCCACAAGATTGGTACCCACACCAGGCAGGGTAGTTCACAGCTGTCATCCTAGCAATTAGGGAGGTCTAGGTGGGAGAATCATTTGAACCCCAGAGTTCCAGACCAGCCTGGGCAACACTGAGACCTCATCTCTATAAAAGAATAAAAAAATTAGCTGGGCATAATGATGTGTGCCAGGAGTCCCAGCTACTCGGGAGGTTGAGGCTGCGATCAGCTGAGATTGCGCCACTGCATTCCAACCTGGGCAACAGAGTGAGACCCTGACTCAAAAAATAAAAAAGAGATCGGAACCCCCTTCACTGTGTCCCCAGCACCTGGCTTGTAGCACTTCCTGAATGACTGTGGCATGAAGCAGTGGGTCACTTCCCTTCTCCTGACCCTTAGGAAGTGACTTAGGTGGCTACTTTCCTCAGGCCCTTTGCAGGGTTACAGGTCAGGGGTGCGAGGGCACGTTCCTCAACTCAGTCACGTCCAAGTGCATGTTGTGCCAGACACATGACAGAATGAGGCCAACCTGGGTCTGTCCTCTCAGAGCCCTTGAACTCACGGGGCGGCAGGCAGGGTCTGCCCTGGTGGGGTGAGGCATGGCACGTCTTCCCTGAATAGACAGCACAATGGACCCCCCTAGCACCTTCCTCCTTCCTCCCTGCAGGTTTCTGGCACAGCCCTGAGTGCGAATTTGTCCGCCACTGCATCGCCAAGTCTCAGGAGCGGGTGGAAGGGAAGGTGCAGGTGTCCGTCTTCAAGGGCCAGGTGTACATCCTGGGCCGGGAGTCCCCACTGTCTCTCTACAATGAGGAGCTGGTGAGGTAGGTACCCTTACCTCATCCTGCCCAAGTGGGCCACGGAGCTTCAGGTGCAGTGTCTCTTCTGATGGGCTTTCTCAACAAATCGGGACTTGAGCACATGTCAGTCACCCTACAGAGCATGCAAGATGGTCGTGAAGAGTGTTAACACCGCCTGTGCCCTCACAGAACTTCAGGCTAGCTGGGGAGAAAGGTATGGATCAAACAACCACTGGAATGCAGAATTCAAAAAGGTGGCTGGCTGGGCACGGTGGCTCATGCCTGTAATCCCAGCACACTGGGAGGCTGAGGCAGGAAGATCACTGGAGTCCAGGAGTTCAAGACCAGCACTAGTGACATAGCCTGTAGTCTCAGCTACTCTGGAGGCTGAGCTGGGAGAATCACCTGAGCCACACTCCAGTCTGGGTGACAGAGTGAGACCCCAACTCAGAAAAAGAAAAGAAGGAAGGGAGAAGAAGGAAAGAAAGAAAGAAAAGGTGGTTTTGGTTGTGAGAAAGGACAGGATACTCCAGCTGGGTATAATAATTGGAGCTAGCCGGGTGCAGTGGTGCTCACTTGTAATTTCACATCCTCCCACCTCAGCCTCCCAAAGTGCTGGGATCAATCACAGTGTGAGCCACCACACCCGGCAAGAGGTAGAGGTGGAGGGCACAGAATCACCCTGGAGCTTGGGGGTGTAAGCAGCTGGGTCCATGCTGGTGGCACTCCCTATGTGGAGGACTGCTCTTGAGGAAGGGTTGCGCATTTGGGTCTAACCATCATGAGTACGGGGTTTCCTACAGGCTCACCCAGGGTCCCAACTAGTCCGCTGTCAGACACATGGGTCTCAGTGGAAGAGACCTGGGTAGAAGACATTGGAGAGTCATAGGCATCGCGGGTTCCCTAAAGCCATGGGCTAAGGGGAGGCTGCCCAGGAGAGAGTGTGGAGGGAGACGAGAAGGGAACCACAGGCAGAACCTTGAGGGGCTTCCTCACCAATGGGCTGGGCAGAGGGTGGCTGAAAAGAACTCCTGGAGAGCCAGGCACAGTGGCTCATGCCTGTAACCCCAGCAATTAGGGAGGCTGAGGCGAGAGGATTGCCTGAGCCCAGGAGTTCGAGACCAGTCTGAGCAACATGGTGAGACCCTGTCAGTACAGTAAATCAAATCAACTGTGTGTGGTGGCGCACACCTGTAGTTCCAGCTACTTAGGAGGTGGAAGGATTGCCTGAGCCCAGCAGGTCAAGGCTTTGGTAGTGATTGTACCACGGCACTCCAGCCTGGGCGACAGTGAGACCGTGACTCAAAAAAAAAGAAAGAACCCCTAGAGAGGTGGAATAGCCCTGATGGGTTGGGGCACAGCCAGCGGGTGACAATTAACCTGCACCGAGGGGTGAGACGTCCTCTTTGAAGGTCCCTGGGCCCAAAAGAAGCCCGTGGAACTATCGTCGGCCCCACCGGACATGGGTTCTCCCAGACCCAGTTTAGCTCAGGCTAAGTGAGGCCAGCGCTTGCCTCCCGGAGGCCGCCTGGGAATTAAAGTCCGAGTTTTGTTTGGCAGTCAATATTATTTTTCTCCTTTCCTTCTCCTTGCGATGCGTCTCTCCCCCCTCCAATCTTTCTAAACACTTTATAAGCCATAAATATAACCGAATCAGTTTAGATCAGTCGGGGTAAATGTCAAATTATCTTCTCTCTTTCTCTCTCTGGCTCTTTCTTCCCTCCCCCTCCAAATCAACAGCCTCTAATAATCTGTCCAACCCTTCATTAAGCCTTACAGTCTCACTCAGGGAGATTAAATGAATAAAGTAAAAAGGGAAAGGGAAAAAAAGAGAGAAAAGCAGGAGCATTTATTCTCACTGTGGCTCCGACCATTTCCCTTTTCTTTTTGATTTCTACATCGCTGACTTGAAAGCCCTTGAGTGACAGCGTCACAGGGACCAGCGACGAAGCCGCGAGAGGTAGCAGAACTGGAAATGCCGCGGCACAGTAGGTAGAAAGTAACGTAATTATAGAGCAGGTCAGAGCCACTCGAATGAGCAAAAATAAAAGCCCAGAGGTTTTCTGTAGACCGTCAGGGGAGGTAAAAAAAATCATTGTAAACTCTTTTTCCACCTTCCCCCCCCCCCCCCCCCCCGGCCCCAAACCACAATTTTAACAAGAGGTTTTTCAGTTCCTGAGAAAGCCCCTTTGCAACTCTCAGTGGCCTTGTGGGACAAGAGTGACCCTGGATGTGGACCCTCATGGCAGGGGCTGCTGGGGCCCGTCTTGGGGAAGGGGATAGGTTGCAGCAATCCTCCTGCCTCAGCCTCCCAAAGTGTGGGATTGCTGACAGGAGCCACTGCGCCTGGCTAAGAGTTTGTTTTGACTTGAGAGAGAGAGAGAGAGGTGACAGGACCAGGACAGACACACAGATGTGGGGAGAGGACTCTGCAGTCTGCCTTCTCCCTGGGCTGAGTTCAGGGGCCAGTGGGGGACAGGCCGGATTTCCAGCGCAAGTTCTGTTCTAGGGATTTGAGGAGGTCATGGGCGAGTCTGGCCCAGCCCTTCCTAAGCACCAGCTCTGCAAAGGGGGGGTGCCCAGCAAAAGTCTGGCGGCTTCTCCCCTTCCAAGGAACACACTCCTGGTGACTTTGGTGCCTCAGCCCTGGTTGGGGGGAAGTCATTGGGAGGGGAGTCATTGGAGGGGGAGGGGAGGGAGGAGCTGACAGAAGAAAGGTGGAGGAGGGGCGGGAGCGTGGGGGTGACTTTGCCAAGAGTTCTGTGCCCCAGCTTCAAGGTGAAGTCAGGGACCGAGATGGGGTTGGGGGAGCAGAGCCCCAATTCTGAGCAAGTTGGAAACACAGAGACCCCATTTGTTCTCATGAAAAGTCCACAGTCTACAAAGAACCAGTCAAAGAAGGAGCCTCCAGCCCCCTCCCCAATGTCACCTCTATAATCCCAGCACTTTGGGAGGTTGAGGCAGGAGGATTGTTTGAGCCTAGGAATTCGAGACCAGCCTAGGCAACATAGTGAGCCTTCGTCTCTACAAAGATAAAAAAAATTAGCCGAGTGTGAGAGCACATGCCTATAGTCTCAGCTGTTCAGAAGGCTGAGACAGGAGGATCACTGAGTCCAGGAGTTCGAGACCAACCTGGACAACACAGTAAGACCTCGTCTCTCTTTTTTTTTAATTAAATTAAAATTGTTTAAAAATCAAAAAACTAGCCACAGGTGGTCATGCAGGTCTGTAGTCCCAGCTCCTCGGGAGCCTAAGGCAGAAGGATCGCCTGAACCAGGAGTTTGAGGCTGTGGTAAGCTAAGATCGTGCCACTGCCTGCCAGCCTGGACAACAGAGTGAGACATCTCTCACACACAAGCACAAAAGATGGGGTCTAACTTGTTGGACAGATGAGTGCAAGGTGACTCCGGGGGCCAATCTTGCCGTGAATGCTGGAGCCTCCTTGCAGCTTGAGAAACCCACGGGGCTGTTCCGATTCGCACTCCCAGGCCTCCTAAGCCTTTGGCCCTGGATGTCATCAGCGCTCCTGGGTACTCCTTTGCGCAAGGGCAGAGCGGGCTCCATGTGTGTCTGTTTACAGAGGCAGCACTCCGAGTTGTAGGAGGATTTCATGGGGCTAGGACTGGCTGGGCCAGGACCCAAGTTGGGGCGACTGCTCCTGGCCTCCTGCCGCTGTCTGTTGCCCCCCCAGCCTCTGGCATGGAGCCTGGCCCAGAAGAGGCCCACTGAGTGGTACAGAAATGGAACGAAAAGTCAATGTGGCTGGGCACGGTAATCCCAGCACTTTGGGAGACCAAGGCAGGAGAATCCCTTGAGCTCAGGAGTTCAGGACTAGCCTGGAAAACCTAGCACGACCTCGTCTCCATTAAATAAAAGAAAGGCCAAAGTACAGGGAGGTGCGGACCTACATGTGGGGAAATGCTTGGCATCTGGAGGGTGGAGCTGGCCCTGGTCCTGTCAACGGGGAGGCATCTGGGGTGAGCTGACCATCTCCTCCTTCTCTCCTGGCAGCATGAACGTGCAGGGCGATTACGAGCCCATTGATGCCACCGGCTTTATCAACATCAACTCCCTCAGGTAAGAGGCTCTAGGCCCCACTGGTCCTCAGAGCCCCCGGTGTGGGGGCAGACTCTGAGGGGACCTTGACCGCCCTGACAGCTACCCTGTTGTAGACACACCCGCTATCCTGTCCCTCTGCCCACAGCATCCTCAGTGCCTGCTCTGGACCCAGTCTGCTTCCACACCCAGCTTGGACAGCCCACAGAGTATCCTGGGCATCTGGGTCCCAGGGTCCTGGGTCCTGCCTTGCGCCTCTGGGCCTCACCCATCCCCTCCAGCCACAGGGTCCCCTGGGGGTTAGAAACAAATGAATGGTCTGGAGGTGGCAAGAAGCCTTTATGCCCTGTGTCACTACACGGGAGCTGTGGGTCTCTCCGGAAGCCATACCAGTGATCTCCGTGGCCCCAGGAGGTGGGGCCGTACACCATCCAAAGTTGCTCAGACCTGGGTTCAGATTCTGGCTCTGCAGTGTCATTTCAGAGCCCTTCCGGTCCTCTGGGAGTCACAAGTGGGGGTGTTAATTGTACCTGCCTCAGGTGCAGTGACTAGTCGCTATGAACCTGTGGGAGCCTAGCAGACAGGGCACACAGGAAGAGCCACTTTCACTAGCAAGTGCTCCCTGCCTGGCACTGGTGTATTCAAAGCCAAATGGTCATTTGTCACCAGCAGCTGCCATGGATTAAGTTGCTCCCAGGCACTCTCCTAGTTTGTCTCATTTAACTCTTAGTCAAATTTGCAACACCCACTGGGCACAGTGGCTCACGCCTATAATCCCAGCACTTTGGGAGGCCGAGGCAAGAGAATTGCTTGAAGTCAGGAGTTGGAGACCAGCCTGGGCAACATAGCGAGATCCTGTGACTACAAACAAAACTGTAAAAATTAGCTGGGCATGGTGGTGCATACCTGTAGTCCCAGTTGCTGGGGAGACTGAAGCGGGAGGATCCCTGAGCCCTGGAGATCAAAGCTGCGGTGAGCCATGATTGAGCCATGATTGTGCCACTGCACTCTAGTCTGGTAGAAAGAGTGAGACTCCGACTCCAAAATAACCAAAATTGCAATTCCCAGAAGCAGGCCTAGAGTGTTTAAGAATGTTCCCAAGTCACACAGCTAGGAAGTGGTGGAGCCAGTTGAAGAAGGCCTGTCTGTCCTGCTCTGGCCTCTATGACAAACTCCCTTCTCATGGGACTTAGGGTCTGGAAGAAGGTGTGGGTCTCCGTCTTCTCCCAAACCATATGCCCTGGGCACAGGGCCACTGTTTTCTCCCAGAGCCAGACTCTTGTCCCTGGAGCCACCACAGGCTCAGGAAGACACTGAATCCAGCCCATCCGCCCAGGACTCCCTCCCCTCCCCTCCCCAGTCACCCACCTTCCTGCCTCCTGCAGGCTCTATTTGTATTTTATGACTCTATAAACCCTTTTAAAACAGCCCAGAACACACCGGGCATTCATAATGGCCTCTTCTTTCCTCCCATTGCCCGTTAAACTCTTTGTCTTCAACAATGACAGACAATGTTTCCCCCCTCAGATAAATTAATTACATTATCCTGATTGGAGGGCGGGAGGGGCCAGGGCAGGAGAGGGGACAGGAAAAAAAGACAACTCCGAACACATCTTAACCAGCAGCTGCCCCCGCCACCCCGGTTCTGCCAGGACTAATTGAACCGAGCGCGTGTTGTTATTGTTCATGTACATGTTTCTTTGTTTTCAACCTGGTTTACAGGCTGAAGGAATATCATCGTCTCCAGAGCAAGGTCACCACCAGATAGACCTGTATACAACAAGGAGCTGGGCGTCCTCACTTGCGGCTCCCCCAAGCACAGGCGCTAATTGTTGTGATAATTTGCAATTGTGACTTGCTCTCCTGACTGCAGCATAGTGGGGCTGCCAGGCCCCAGCTTTGTCCCCTGGCCCCCGACCCCTCCCGCCTACAAAAGTGGTCATCGGAGGGAAGGTTGGGGCGGCTGCAGTGGGGAAGCTATGAAGGGACAATTAAAGAAAAAGATACATTAGTCTTTTGTGTCCTTATTTCTACAGAGAGGTGTGTGTGTGTAGTCAATTATGTGGTTCTTAGCTCAACCTTTGTGTTTTCTGATTTAAGGGCGGCCAAAGGCCACCATTTGCCAGACAGTCTGTTTATCTGGGTGAGTTGACCTCTCCCTCCCTCCAGCAAGTACCCATCTGGGTCAGACCCTAGCCCAGCAGCCTGAGGTGGTCTTGTGGCATGTGCCAGGGACCCCGAAGAGAGGGGACAGGCTTGGGACAGTGTGTCTGCCCACAGCGCCTTTTCTGAGGACCATTTTTTTTTAAAGAGATGGGGTCTCACTATGTTGCCCAGTCTGGTCTCGAACTCCTGGCCTCAAGCTATCCTCCCACTTAGGCCTCCCAAAGTGCTAGGATGACAGGTGTGAGCCACCACACCCGGCCTCTGGGGGCCAACTGCACTTCTGGATATGGTGGCCAAGACTGAGCTTATGATACTTCCTCGCCACAGCCGAGTGACCTATAGCAGCCAAAACTATGGAGAAGGAAGAACCCCCAAGTAAGAAGAGAGGCCTGTGCAGAGAGGAGAAAAGAGCAGAGCAGGCACTTTGAGTTGAGCCACAAACTGGGCTGCAAAGCTGCCGTGCTTGTACTGTGGCCCCGCCCCTTTATCATCTGATTGGATCACGTTTGTGCTGTGGTCCCACCCCTTTAATAATATCTGGTTGGGCCGTGTTTGTGCCGTGCTCCTCCCACCCCACTCCTTTCGTCATACCTGATTGGACCGTGGCTGGACCCCGAACCCAAGCTGGGCCAATCAGAACCTCACCCTCAGGAGTTAGGCCCCAGAGCATGGGCAGACGTGAGGGCATCCCACGCGGCACCGTGGGATGCCACATCCTATAAAAGCAAAGAGGGAGAAGGACGTGAGAGGGGAAAGATGAGAAGAGTGGGTCATGGGTTTAGAATCCCTATTCACATCCTGAAAGCTGGTGACATTTCTTGACCAGGTTTCCCCGAGACACCCTAGTGTCCTCATAATGAAAGTAGGACTCAAGATGGTTGAGAAAGTTTCTGTTCCTTGCGACCAAAAGCATCTTCACTGGGAATGATACAGGACGGGGAACCCCAAAGTTGGGGTCCAACACGAGAGGTCAAGTGGGTTCTTGGCTTCCCACGGGAAATAATTCCAGAAACAGCTTACTAGGATGGACAGCCGGGCACCAGGCTCATGCTTGTAATCCCAGCATTTTAAGAGGTCAAGGCAGGAGGATCTCTTGAGCCCAGAGAGTCGAGACCAGCCTGGGCAACATGGCGTGACCTCATCTCTACCAAAAATTAGCTGGGCAGGGTGCACACCTGTAGTCCCAACTACTCAGGAGGCTGAGGTGGGAGGATTGCCTGAGCCCAGGAGTTGGGGGCTGCGGTGAGCTGTGACAGGGCCACCGCACTCCAGCCTGGGTAATAGAGTGAGACGCCAACTTAAAAAGAAAAAAAAAGAAAAAAATTAGGAACAGACATTGCCATCTATTGAAAGTCAGCCCTCAACACAAAAGTTTCTAAAAAATATTTTAGCCAGGCACAGTGGCTGATGCCTGTAGTCTCAGCACTTTGGAGGTGGAGGCAAGAGGATTGCCTCAGCCCATGGGCTCGAGACCAGCCTGGGCAACTTGGCAAGGCTTCAGCTCTACAATTAATCAAAAAATTAGATGGGCATGGTAGTGTGCGCCTGTGGTCCCAGCTACTTGGAAGGTTGAGGTGGAAGGATTGCCTGAGCTTAGCAGGTCAAGGCTGTGGTGGCGCTGAGTGTGCCACTGCACCCCAGTCTGGGTGACAGAGTGAGACTCCTACTCAAAAAAAAATTTTTTTTATTTAAACCCGGAATAAACAAAAATTTTTAAAAGAGAGAAATAGTTAAATAAATAGACCAGGTGCTGTGGCTTATGCCTATAAGCTCAGCACTTTGGGAGGCTGAAGTGAGAGGATTGCCTGAGCCCACGGGTCCAAGAACAGCCTGGGCAGTTTGACAAGACCTCATCTCTATAATAAAAATCAAAATATTAGCTGGGCATGGTGGCACATGCCTGTAGTTCCAGCTACTTGGAAGGCTGAGGCAGAAGGATCGCCTGAGCCCAACAAGTCGAAGCTGCGATGGCCATGAGTGTACCACTGCTCTCCAGCCTGGACAGTAGAGTGAGACTTCAACTCAAAAAAAAAGTCCTGAAGGAGCTCTTTCATCACAACAATGCACCAGCTTACACAGCACTGTCTATGAAGGAGTTTTTAGCCAGTAAACAAATAACACCCTCCGTACTCACCTGATCTGCCCCCCAATGACTTTTTTCTTTACCCGAAGATGAAGGAAATATTGAAAGAAGACATTTTGATGACATTCAGGACATCAAGGATAAGACGGTGATAGCTCTGATGGCCATTCCAGAAAGAGTTCCAGAGTTGCTTAGATGGGCTGACTAGTCACTGGCGTGGGAGCATAGCTTCCCAAGGGGAGTACTTAGAAGGTGACCATAGTGATATTCAGCCATGAGGTAGGTAGCACTTCTTCTAGGTAGAGTTCATGAACTTAATTGTCAGGCCCCATATAATAAAAGGGATGGTGGGGAGGGTGGCGGGCAAATTAGTTGCCATCTTAGTTCTAGGTGACTCTCACCAGTTCTCAGCCACAACTTTTTTTCCTTCTGTGGGGATCTCAAAAAACCATCTCCCTGTCTAGAAAATCTCTCAGCCACTTGTTGAGAAATAAGCCTTGTTCATTCTAGGGAATTAGTCCTTCCTAACTCCTGTCTCAGGAAGACATGAGTGCTGCTTGCTCTGGGTCTTGCCTGGTTCTAGACTCAGATCCTGACCTCAGGGATCTTTACACCATGGCCTTTGTCAATAAGAGTTTCTCTCAAAAGAAGTTTTGCCTTTAAGACTTCTTTTCCTCTGATTATAAATCCAGGGTAGGCCGGGCGTAGTGGCTCACACCTATATTCCCAGCACTTTAGGAGGCCGAGGCAAGAGGATTGCTTGGGCCTAGGAGTGTGAGACTAGTCTGGACAGCATAGCAAGATCCCACTTCTTTTTTTTTTTGAGTTGGAGTCTCACTCTGCCGCCCAGACTGGAGTGCAGTGGCCGTTCCCGGCTACTGCAGCCTCGACCTGCTGGGCTCCGGCAATCCTTCCGCCTCAGCCTTCCGAGTCGGAATTACAGGCATGCGCTACCACGCCTGGCTGATTTTTTGATTTATTGCAGAGATGAGGTCTCGCTGCCCAGGCGGGTCTCGAACCCGCGGGCTCAGGCAATCCAATCACCTCAGCCTCCCAAAGGTACGGGATTATAGGCTGAGCCACTGAGCCCGGCCAAGACCCCACTTCTAAAATAAGAAATAAAAATAATTAACCAGGTGTGGTGGTGTGTGCCTGTCGTCCCAGCTACTAAGAAGGCCGAGACAGGAGGATTGCTTGATCCTAAGAGGTTGAGGCTGGGCTGTGCTTGTGCCACTGTACCCCGGCCAGGGTGACAGAGTCAGACCCTATCTTCAAAAAAAAAGCATGTATCATTCCGAAGAAGTAAAACCAGTGATATGATAGAGAATGGAGCTTGGGAGCCAGACATGATGGCGCACGCCTGTAGTCCCAGCTACTCGGGAGGCTGAGGTGGAAGGATCACCTGAGCCCAGCCGGTTGAGGTTGTAGTAGCTATGGTTGTGCCACTGGCTGGTCTAGAACTCGTGCGCTCACGCAGTCTACTCACCTTAACTTTTCAAAGTGTTGAGATTACAGGTGTGAACCACCACACCTAGCTGAATTCAATTTTCAAATTGTTTATTGCTAATACATAGAATTCAACTGATTTTTTATTTTTTTTGAGTCTGAGTCTTACTTTATCACCTAGGCTGGAGTGCAGTGGCATGCTCACGGCCACCGCAGCCTTGGCCTGCCGGGCCCAGGTGATCCTCCCGCCTCAGCCTTCCAAGTAGCTAGAACTACAGGCACATGCCACCGTACGCGCCATGCCCAGCTAATTTTTTTTATTTATTATAGAGACCAGATCTCACCAAGTTGCCCAGGCTGGTCTCGAACCCCTTGGCTCAGGCAGTCTTCTAGCCTCTGCCTCCCAAAATGCTGGGTTTACAAGCATGAGTCACCAATCCCAGCTCAACTGATTTTTGTATAACTATTGTTTTAAGATCATAGTTGGGCCAGGCACAGTGGCTTATGCCTGTAATACCAGCACTTTGGAGAGGCCAAGGTGGAAGGATCATGTGAGCCCAGGAATTCAAGACCAGTCTGGGCAACATAGCGAGACCTCATCTCTACAAAAGATCAAAAATTAACCAAGCATGGTGCCATGTGCCTCTAGTCCCAGCCTGTAGTCTCTGGAGGCTGAGGCAGAAGGATTGCCTGAGACCAAGACGTCGAGGCTGCAATGAGCCATGATTGTGCCACTGCCCTCCAGCCTGGTGACAGAGTGAGACTCAAAAAAAAAATTAGTATTACACATGGATGTTGAATGTTGTTGAATGCTTTTTCAATGCCACTTGTAATTGTTTTCTCCAGTATCTTGTTAATATGATGACTAATTGATTTTTGAATGGTAAACCAATTTTGCATTCACAGGACAAACCCCATTTACTCATGATATATTATCTTTTTATGTATTGTTGGATTTGATTTACTAAAATTTTATCAAAGATTTTTGTGTTTATATTCATGTGCGATGTGGGTCTATAATTCTCTTGTGATGTCTTTGGCTTTTGTGTTAGGGTAAGATTGCCCCCCCCCAAATGCATTCAGAAGTGTCTCTTCATCTTATATATTTTCTAAAACAATTTGTGTAGTATTGGAAATATTCTTTTTTTAAAAATTGGATTCTCACTCCGTCACCCAGGTTGGAGTGCAATGGCACGATCATAGCTCACTGCAGCCTTGACCTCTTGGGCTCAGGTGATCCTCCCACCTCAGCCTCCCAGATGACTGGGACTACAGGCACATGCCACCCTGCCTGGCTAAATTTTTTGTAGAGACAAAGTCTGG